ATTAGGGGAAAATACGGTTTCGATGGCCGCAAATGTGGGGATTTCTGTATTCAGTCGGAAGTCTCGTGGTTAGGCTTTTTGTTGCTGTTCGGCGTGTTACATTGCAAGTGCTACAGAAATGGAAGGAAGACTACGGTAAGGTGGCGGAAGCGCATATCCCTGTTTACGATTGGAGAGCTGAATGCAGGCGATGCAATACTGATATTAAGCCTAGTCGTTGCTAATCGTCGGATATATTCGCTTGAAAGGGCAGCGAGTCGGACGTGAAAATCTTAAAAAAAAAAACGTTGGTCTACTAAGACCGAAAATCGTCGCGTACTATTGCAGAGAATGCGTCCAGAAAAATGTAACGTGCTGTAAAGAAATCAGTACCACTGTTTTAGAATGTAATTATATGTGAGGAAAAAGCTTGTATTGAATGTAGATATCACTCTGAACAATGGATTGCTGTGCGAAAATTGGAGGCTCATCCGCAAACCACAAGTGAAACCCTGATCAGTAAAGGCATCTTATTGTATAATTCAATATATGAACTAGATAAACAATGACATAAACCCCAAAAATAAGTACGCCTAAAAAGGGTTCCTACGGAAAGATACCCTAGTATGCACGCCAGCTTCTAGAATATTGGGGGCTTTCAAATGGAAAAAGGGACGCCTGAACATACTACGAAACATATATGTTCCCTTTTACTCAACCTTTTCCTTGAACACTTGATTGACAGTCGTGCATTTAAAACCTGCTTCTTAATTTAAATATCGAAATTGATCTCATTTGTTTCACTTGAGTCAAGCACACAAACCTGTGGGAAGGGTTTGTATTGCAAAGGTGTATGGCAAACAGGCTATGAACAGCGGGAAAGAAAGCTAAATTATCCAGACAGGTATAGCAGTGGGGAAAAACAACAAAGGATGGTTTCATCACAAATGTCGATCAGTCGAAGAAAGAGTATCCCGTTGTTGCGAGACGAAGGAAACTTTATGGGTCTAACGACCCCATCGCAAAAACAGCAAAACGTGGAATCTGCTTGTTGAAGATCAGGCGGATTGAATGGCCATATCTGTGTGGCTGGACACGCTCGACAATTTGAAACTTTATGAGATGGAGTCTCTGTTATCTAGGTTACCGACTGACGTCGTCCATAGGTTATTCTTTCCTGTCTACTAATGATTGCCAGCAGGTACAGTTAGCCGAATCTTAAGGCTCTGGTAGTATTTGCATCTATTTCCCAAAACATCAATCTTAAGAGAGAAGAAATATAAGTCACTTGTTTACAACACAGCACACAGGTTGTTGTATCGTCGGTTGGTCAGAACTTTTAACCTCAGCCTTCGTAGAGAGTTGGGCGGTTCACTCATCATCTTGCTGCAAGCAGGCGAAAATGAATAGGAAATGAAAAAATTCAATCAAATTTGTTTCATATACTCTCTATACCAACATATTACATATAAACTTATAGAGGGAAAGCAGACAGATGATTCTCCAGTAAGTTTGAGTTAGGCTGATGAGTAGACGTCCGAATTACAAGAAAATATTTGAGCTATTATTGATAGTCGCGCATTCATTAGCTACATTCAATTCTATTCATTTTAAGCTGGCCATAATCATATTTGTATCTATCGGTCCCACATTGATGTATGCTGTTAATTTTCATCCTCGAAGAGACCAATTTATAATTAGAATTAATTCATCATCTTTTCAAGTATCTCGCTACTCTTAGATCTGCTCTTTCAGGATTGGGTTGCCTTACCCTCTGTAAAGTTTTCGAAGGTATCATTGACGCTTTTGGGAGACCAAGAACGGTATTGTCATTGGAAATTGTAGGATGGACATAACTTTGGATCGTCAAACAGCTTTAGATCTGTCATGGCGCTAAGGTCCAAGTATCGAGGTTGCTTGACTTGATCTGATCGAAGGAAGTCAGAGCCCCAGCGTAGATCAACTGTTCACTCTCGTAACATCCGAACTCGCGTTGATCCCAGGCATCGTTTGTGTTTCGGCTTCTGTATGCACCATAAATTCGATGCCGGTTCTCCCGATTGGCGGTGTAGCCTTAAAAACCACAAAACATTTTATCTCCCGATAGCCGTTCCGACTACCAGTCCCGGGGCCTGCGATTTATGCGTCCGTTTTATTTTGTGATCCCCATTTGACCGCTGCAAGTTGGCGAAACGATTTAAGTATTTAATCTTCAACGGAATAATGCGTAAAGTCTCACACATTATATACGCGTACAGATACGTAATGCGACGACAATAATGAACATTTTTTTAAAACCGCGATTACTTTTCGATGAAAAGCCAAACAGTAGAATTGAGACTATAACGTCAGCAGATCTAGCAGTTATTAAACGGTTTTCTATTATAATAAATAATACTCATGCCATGTCATAAATTGGGCAACTGAGAATAGTTCCTCAAGCTCTAACTAGGTTAGTCACGTATCCAAAGTCAGCCTCCCTATAGGACCCGTTCACAGACACGAGCCATTTTGTATTGAAAAAGAGCCATTATTACTGATGCGGACAATATTGCGATTTGTCTAATACGATTATTGCATACATATTAAATACTATTTATCGTTGTCCTATGCTTGACTTTCAACAATAGCAAGCCTTTATTTACGCATGTATCGCATGTAAAGTTTGCAGGTCAGTTTCGAAATATAGCCATTTCTGCCGGATAGTAGACAAATACTCATAAATAATAACAAAAGCAGAAAATATCCGAGGTCATTTCGGGATACGACAACTGAAGAAATCGAGAGACTGAGAACGAATAAGAAAACACAGACGTACACAATATGTCCGTTAAAAGCAATCGCAATATTTATTGCCAGCTCTTACATGAGGAATACAAGCGGACAGCGGGACAAATAAAACCATTGCTGCCGCTGTGTCCAGTCGAATGAGTTCTCGTCCTGGTCCGGAAGGCACTCGCCACAAGGTGAAAGGGCTGCACTACGCTGGTGGTCTTTCAAACCTTGAGATTTCGTCGCTGAAAAGATTGCAAAAAGGTCTTAGTCATGAAACAGCAGGGTGGAGTCTCGTAGGCAGAACTGTCTGATTTATATTGTGCTGATAAAATTTCATACTCAGATGATTCTCGTTTTCCTCGCCTACATTATTTGAATAGATCAACAGTCTGAATATTAGCAACATGAGCTTGAACATGTTTTTGCCAGCCTGTTCGAGTATCTTCCTATTGGGAGTGATAATTGTTGCAAACTATCTTTCGTTTCTTCCCCATTTCTTCCTAAGAAGAATACATTTCCATATACCGACGTTCGACATTTAAAAATTCATCCACCTTCGTCATAAATCTATATACGCCTTGAGTAAATCTGGCCTTATATATAAACATTCCAAACAAATCAGTTTTTTGTCGGTTTTACGTTATTTTCTGAATACGCTTGATGCTGTCGACGACATATAGCGGAAAAATTTGAAACGAAAAATTAAGTTAAAAAGAAAATAAACGTTAAGAACTTTTGCGCAAAATGGTGCCCAAATTAATCTCTTGTCAATATTAAGTTACACGTATTTTTTAAATTTTTGTGATATCTTCAACATCTGACACGCGTCTCTGAAAAGCATCTCGACATATGTAGCACTCCAAGAATTAACACAAAAGACCGAATTTAGGCCAGTCAAGGCTGTTCGTGCAAAAGGGTCTAAGTTCATTTTAATATCTACGTGCTGCTACCTTAAAAACTGCAAGCGGATGTTTTTCAAGCTTGGCCTAAAATGCAGTTCACATTAATATATATATATGTATATATAAAAAGGGTCTATTTCTTTAATCGAAATGGTGGGTTCGATTTTTTTCGGACACATCTTGTGCTACCCTTCGTGATAACCGCGTATTAAAAACATGTGCGCAAAGATACCCGTTTTTTCAATAATTTCGCATCAACATGTCTTCATGTGTGTTGTTTTATGATATGTCGTATTGAAACACTTCGTAGAAATTGAAACACAGCTTTTGTTGCCATTTCCTTCAAACAGTAATCAATGCGCTTGAATGTCACCATAGTCGATCTTCCTGAAGGAAGTGGCCATGCTATTCCCAATTCTCATCGCTTAAACTAAGTAGAACATCTGTCAAGATACCGACAACGTATCCTGAACGTGTCGAGGCTGTGAATGTGTGTGTGTCGGCTCCTTTGAAATTTCTGTGCAATGGTTTAATGGTCTCGGCGATAAGACGGGCTTTTTCTATGGTATCATCTCAATGAACGCTAACCGAAAGCGCCCTCGTCTAAGGGCATTTTACGCTCCTGTGGTTCTGAACAGTTCCCTCGGTCGAAACTTAGAACACGAGGTTGTTGATGCAGAGTGAGACGTCGAATGAAAACAGCGCACAAGTTATAAAGCATCTTAATATCAAACGAATGTGATAACGTTGTTTAAACTAGAAAAGCAGAGGAAATTCGAAATATCTAGTTAACAAAGAACATTCGATAGGATACGAACCTTTTACCTAAATCGTTCAACCTTAATAGTGCTGCTAACAATAACTATCTAGATTTGAACCTAAATGTGTTATTTTTTGTAAGATCATGGAGAGACATGGATAAGACATCACAGAGGCCAACCCATTCCGTGGGCTTGTCACAATATTCGTGGGTCAGCAAGAGCAGAAAGAAAATGGCAAGTTACAGTTCCCGTCGGCTAACTTATCTGGCGTAGGAAATGACACACTGCTCTTGTGCATCGCGAACCACAGAACGGTTTGCAGCTGGTTTTATCAATGTGCCCTTGCCCAATGAGGCTAGAAGTGCCTCGTAACTTAAGTCTATCTGGACCTTGTTAGAGGAACCATGATATGTGCGAATTCGTCTTCATCGTATCCCTCCGGCTGACGCTGATAGCATCTGTCGAGTTTTATAACTCATCAATTACGACGACGTTTGTTTATCATATTAATTTGTTTTATTTATAAACCTTTCATTAATTAACATGTCTCTTTCTTTACAGTCCCATTTTTACAGCCGTTTTTAGTAAAATCATACTGTTATCAATAATTTTATAAATCTTGACCAGACAATCTGTGGAGTGTGTCATCCACTGCGCTCAAACCTACAACATGGGATCGTGGCAGTAAAAACGCGCTCGCCCCTGGGAATCCAAAGTAGTTTAGCTGTTGACATTTCCCATCATGAACACCACCGAAATTAGGTAGATCATTCGTGCTTACAGGATAGCTATCATCAACTGCTTCAGGAGAGCTCCGTCGGGCCGCATATAACCGCGCGCTTGTTGAGGCTCAACTTAGCGGAATCAACTGGTTCAAGTGGCTCCCCAATGGCCGAGGGCAGTAGGAGAGTCCTTGAACTGAAACGGACCGGGTTAATTTCAATCGACTCAATTTATAGCTGAAAGCTAGGGCGTACGAACCACTCAAGTCATTTCTGGATACTCACTTCGTACACAGCTTCGCAATAATTGAAATTATTAGCTGCAAACAAACGCAAACGGCGTTCACCCGTTCAATGGACGCAAATCTATTGATGGGGGCACGCTCATGCACTTCATTCCTTAGGGATAATCTTCGATTGATCATCGCTTCTGGTAGCAGCCCTAAATTCTCGCGTTAGCTTATTTTCCTTTTCTCTTCAAGTTGGTATACGGTGGCTGTTTATAAACAATAAAAACTCTCAGCTCAATAAAATCATGCTCGTGCTATCACCTTAGAGTTGACATCAGTGCTGACACATTAAATAAGGCAGCCTCAATATGTATTACATCGACACTGAAATAATGTTGGCGTGTAAGACGCTATATATGCTTTGTACCACACTTTGGCTGTAACCATCATATGTATGTATAAAGAAAACCAAACGCTGAAAGCCATTTACTGGAAGCATTTACGTGATATAATTGGGCTAGAGATTTTCCAGGAAAGTTGTTTTAAAGGACAAATTTAATTAGCTTGCAAACACTTTATCTAGGTTTTCTTGAGAACTTTTGACTGTGTTCTCGATGTATTTTGAGAGAACTGATATCCTAAAAATGCAGAAATGTTCATGATTTTTAGGATGGATATAAAGTATGCACGTTCACCAATAATGTACCTTTCGGGAAAAGAGAACAACTTCAATCATACCACTTTTGCTGACCAGGTAGAACACCGTGTCGTTCTTTTGATCTCGCCCCTCTGCCAAGCCCGAACTAGTGTGAATTGAAATATATCATACTTCGTGAGTTCGTAAACGTTGTTATCTGCGCTAACCGGTGTTCAAAGGTATACACATAGACGTTAACGTGTCGATTTCAGGAAAAATATAGATATTTTTGTTTTTTCTTATCGTCTTGTGACTGTGGCTGCCCCGCCGAGTCTCCGTCCCTGTTAGCTAATCTTTTGTGTAAATTCGTCGTAACACGGCTACACTTGGATCTCTGTTGAAATCTCTGATACGGCCGAAGCATGGCGCAGGGCTTGAATGATCCTACAGAAAAAATCGGTGCGATCATTGAACAGATTTGCAACTAGCATTTTGTGCGTATTTCACTTCGGCAGTTCATGCTGGGGGAATTTTAGGTTTAAATCAGACTTGAATCGACCAAAAGCATAAATCTATCACTGACATTAAGTTTTTCAAAGTAATATTTACTCAAGACTAGGTCATTTCACACCTCCTTTTTGTAAACCATTTGCTGGCACGCATGCTAGTAAATGATTCATTTAAATCCATAAGTATGCTGGAGAGCAACTCGAGTCAGAGACGATGGCGATAACCTTATCATAGGTAAGTCTAACCACTTATTGATGTTTTATTTAGACAGCTCAACGTAGGTCTCCTAGAGGTTACCAATGAATTTACTCTTTGGTTGACAATGGTATTTCATTCCTATAGTTGGCATACACTGTATCGAAGACACGATCGACAAAAGCACTCACACACATTAGCATTACAAATGTCCCAGGAAACCGTCCTGCATTAGAATGTTTCGAAGTGCTTGTACAATGCTCCTCAACTGACTTCTTGAATCTGTCTCAGCAGAGCAATTCCCATGACCAACAAGGAAACACTGTGATAATTCACTCTGAACAAGCCTGTGCGATTCGGCATACACGATACGGCGACTCCATAGGATTCGTTTTCACACAACGCCGATAAGAAGTTTATGAGGTTAGTGACTACAATTGAGAAGGAACAGTTATGGCGGTCAAAAATACTTCATCTCGTTACCAGTTCACAAATTTCAGGCAAGAATAACCCATGTCCGATTTTAAATAACAGTGCATATAATAGCTGAATTATCGACGCCATCGATGGGACTTGCTTCAACATCTTGAAATGTCCCGTTAGATACTTTAGTGTATTCATGAAGCCTTACGTGAATTCGGATAAATTTCACAGTGTTATGCAAGCGCCTACAAACAGGTTTCGAACTGAAATCTGAGAGACGATTTATACCTACTTGAGTGTGCCAAGACTTGAGAAATTAATTTATTCGTTACAGCACATTCCGTTAAAAAGATCTAGTAGCACTTTTCGGCAAATGAACACATATATTTATACAAATTAGTTGCTCGTTTCTTAATAAAAAAAAAAAACATGTAGACAATGTTTTAAAGCATGTCCTATACTTGTCTATGAATGTTTTCTGCAAAACTATACAGCACAAAAATACGCGATAGCTTTGTAGCCTTAATGACGGGACAGGTCACTGAGCCTTACTTGGTAGCTAAAGGATATCGATGAGCAACTTTATATTATAATATATATCACTGACCTTAGCTGATAAGTATGTTCATATCTAACCTGCCCTTAATTGTTGGGTCCGTACTTAATTCAGAGGGATATCGGTCGACTGACGCAGTCCGGATGATACCATCTCAATCAATTCAGGATGAATTTCGAACATATCATTCACAAACTCAAACTGAATAAAAGACTGTTTTTGTCTGGTCTTTAATGCCTTCCGCCGATCTCATAACCGGCGCGCAGTTCCGCATTGAGAAAACGACGAAAACGACTACCCACTACAACGAAATCCACTGACACGTAGATCCGACCGTTTGGCTCCACTTTTTGGTTGTAGCTTTAAGGGCGATCTAAAGTAAGCTAATTTAACCTATCCAGATAGCCAACCAGGAAAAACAGCAGCCCAACTTTCAGCATCATCATCATCACCATCATCATCATTGCGACCAGAGCTGCCATAATGATTGCTACTGGTGAAATGAAATAGACAAACAACCGTTAAAGGCACAATCATATCACCTTTAATCTCCTTCTGTCCAAAGCCTTTTGGCTGCAGAACTATCCATTAAAACTGTAAACCAAGCTAAACCCATAAAGAAGTGGTATCCCAATTTGCTCAAATAAACAGTCTACTTACCTGTCTGCCTGCCTAGGAGCTGAGTTCGTGCTGACGCGGAGCTAATTCGACCTCACGAGAGAGTTCACGAAGTCTATGAGCTTCTCCGAAAGCCCTTCCGGCACTCGAACATCCGTTGAAACGACCGCCCTCTACAGTGCAGAGCGCTTCGTTATATAACCTCGGCATCGCATCTGTGTTAATGTACATACGCACATTCATTCCTTCTTTGAGAAATAGACGTCCGTAAGCAACTTGGCTTACATCCAGTTATAGCTCATATTCGTTAGCCAACAAGCTTTAAATGGGCGCAGAGTGTATTTGAAGCTGGTAAAGTTGTTTTTGTACTCTAATTTGCATCAAACGAAGATGGCTGGCGGCACGGCTGCCTGCTGCTCAAATGAATATTCAGTTAAGCTTGATCTAGTTTCTGACCCGGCATCCTATGTTATATTGATACCGTGCTGCCTTCCGGAAATGTGACGTTAGCTGTAATAAAGTATTATTTACTTAGATTTTAGTTATTTCGGCGATACAGGAAGGTATCTGTGTACAGTTAGTGATAGGTTCCTTTACCTATCGATCAAAACAACTTCTGAAGTATAATGGCACAAAATAGGAGCCTTTGTTTCATGACCTTACTTGAGATAAAATATGTCTGAAGATAGGATTTTACAAATTTTTATCATGTAGTAATCTTCAAGTAATTTTCACGCTTGTATGGGACTGAAGTAGCAGATCTAGCGGAATATGTCATTGCAAAATGCTTGTATTTCAATGGGCACAACCAAATGATACAGTCATCGCACAAATATAAATAATAAAATGATTATCACAGTTCGCCAGAAGATATAAACTTAGATTTCTTATTCGATTTACACTCTACAGATAGATTTGTCTGGGTACATTAAGCGTTGCACTCCATTCTTTCTTTTTGTATCTTACGAACTCAACGTATAGCTTCAGAATGACCTCAGATCTTAGATAGAGCGCAGACAGTGAATCGTCGTATAATACATATCTCACATGCAACTGGACACCGAAATGCAGAAGGTCGTCTGCTTACGCAGTGTTCCTTGCATGTCTGTCTCCTTTAGTTTCCTGAGATGAAAGCGTGCGCGCTTCTGTTCATTATCTTCGCTTGTAACTGCCTGACCATTCCCAGAACGATCTCAGTTCTCTCCCTGACTGGCAAAAATCATTCGAGCCACATTACGCATGTTTCACAACGAACAACGATGAGCAAATGTGCGGCGCTGAAGTTCAGCGCACATGCGTCGATTATGAATTTATCTTTCAAGTTGCGGCGAAACTCGTATAAAGATAATTCAATTGTCCTCACCCGCTTCAATGGTCCACTGTTCAGAACACATTACGCAACACAATGACAACAAAAAACGAGTGGGAGCATCGTTTTTCCTGGCCTCGAGGCGGTACAGGCCCTGCTTTCACCGAACAAACATTGATGGCGGCCAGTAGCGATTCAAAACGGCGGCTGAAATTGACAAGCAGTGATTTGATTTCGTTTTCAAGGTTTATTCAGATCTGTTGATTCCTGTTACTGTTATCTTTTGATGAAAGCAAATGCCAAAGATGTTTATAGTCGACGGCTGTTACTGCCCAAATATATCAGCGACAATACCGCTGCTCCTAGCAGTAGTGTATGGATGAATTACTGCAGACGATACTTGTCGACATGACAATGAGGTTCGTTCATTTGACGTTAACCGATTATCGGCTTATGGTTGACGTGTTAATTCTGTCCCCGAGTTGTTGTTAACGTGACCTGGCCCGGCCGGATCAATTCACATGCATTGATGGGTGCCAGCCGAAGCCCGACCTAAACTTGGGCGGAAATTTCAGTGCGGTATTAATCGTTGATTCGAAACAGCTACAGCACCAGTTTAGGGTCTGTCCAATCGTACGACTAAGCTCGAGACAACAGCTTAGATAGAAAACGTCATGTTTCTGACGTTGTCATAGAGTTAATTGCGAACTGACTAACAATTGGAAAGACAAAAATGCTTTTTTAGGTCTGAATTACTATTATGACATTGCTAATAACATAACAGGTAGATACCGTCATCTGTTGAGTTACTCACTTTCTAGTAAGCTCGAATACCGTTTTTATGCGCATATGTTACCACAACCGCAATTTCTAGCTGCATTTACTTGAACTTATAAAACCCTAACTTCCAACTGTCTCCCACCTGTCTAGTGTCTATTTGTCTTCTGTATTGTCTGTGTGTTGATAAGTGTACTCAGTACTATCTTATAGCTGTTTTCAAAGGGTCTATCTACACTTGGCGGGTACCTTCTCCTTTTCGTCCTTTTATCGGTGTCTCTTCAAGAGAAGGACAGAACTGCCTGAGTGACAATCCATCCTGCCTGCCTCCCTCCTCAGACAGAATCGTAATGACAATGGTTTCAATGTATTATAACTCCTGTTACCGCGTTTCGTATTCGTTGCACATTCCGCTTCGAAAAGGCACATCTTCGTCACTGCCCGTGACGAAGACCCGTACATTATCATACTCAAATCACTCTCCGTAGTTGTCATGCAACCTTGGTTCTTCTGTTACAGTCATCACAAGTAGGAAGTCTCGCAAGAGAATGCCCCAACTGCCACTGACCTTGACACTGCATAAGATCGCGACATTCATATATTGACGTTTTATGGATACATATATATATATCTCTCAGTATACACATATATGGATATAATAAGATCTTCTTTTTTTGCATACGAAGTATCTCGGACCCTATAACAATACCAATACCATACTAAAACGTCAATAGGTTTTTTCATCGAAATATAAGTCTTCATTCGTACAAAGCGTTTAATACCTCTTGACATTACCTTGTCCATTAACAAAATAATAATGAAGCTGATTAGAAATTCACGCAGATCGAGCGACATTCGTTCACATGATACTCTCAGGTCGTGTCCAGTCACAGCTTTACTTTTCTATCACCTTTAGAGAGCAAATAACTATATGCAAGCTAACATAAATTTTTCTTTCAATAAAAACGCTAATAATTCTCTAACGGTTCAAGCTTATGCGACGAGGACAAGGCACCGATACACAATTTATGATACCCTAGAAAAGCTAACTATTTTAATTGTACAGCCACGAACGAAGTTTGATCATGAACATATTATTAGTCTAGCCTCTGATCTTCGGGATCGTATCTGTATTATAATTGAAGATGATCGAAGATCTCCACAAATATTGAGAAGCACCCTCAGAGGCGTGGCCAAGCATTCTCCTTCCCTTATAGTAATATTTAGCTGGTCATTTGGGAACTTAACGTATCAGCCCACCCCCTTCCACCCCAGATGGACGAGTACTGCAAAACTTACTTTGTCGACTTCGCGCGATCTCTCTGTGGACCGCTTTGCTTGGCTTGCAGTCATCATGAAAATTCGCTAACGTAACGAATACCATATGTAGGGCAAAACGTTTTATATCTTAATGTGAACTTTCATTTTAGTTTGTAATAAAACTTTAAGTTATGTGCATAAAATAGAACCTATCTTGTAGATTACGCCGCATGTGGAAAAAACATGTTATACGTTTGCCTTATTTTCACAAACCTCTTTATTAATAAGTATGTTTTAAAAGCTAACATAACGTTACGCACTATAAATGATTCTTTTTTTGATTTTTTTTCTGATTAAAATGCTTTAGAATAGTCGTGAACAAATAAAAGGGTGCTTTAAAACTCCAGGTCACTTTGAACGTGACGAAACTCCGTCTTGCTAACTTGGTCTTATTGGGGAAAAGCACTTTCCCAATAACAACAAAAAGCGACGATGTTAATTTCTTCGAAAAATATGCTTGGACCTTAATTCACCACATTTGATTTTTTGGCTTTAAAATTAGCTTAGATTGTAGCCGCAAACCTATGAAAGGCTAAGACGTTGCTGTTCCATTTAGCACCCAGCATTCTCACAAAAGGGAACGATTGATATCCCAACGGGTTCTAAAAAACAGCAACCGCTAACTACAGCATGCGCTTGATATCTACGAACATAAATTGATGTATGTTTCCTACGATATGACGTACTTTCAAGATTATGCTCGGTATATTGTCTACCGAATAGCATTCAACCCGTAACACCAAGTGATGAGCTTATGAAAAATTGTCTGCTGATCATTACAATTTTCCAGATTATTAAGTTTTCTTTTTTCAATAAAAAAAATGAAATATATTGTTTACAAACCTTTTTTAGGCTACTTTGAATTTCTGTTAGTAAGAAACCAAAGTAAGCTTTATTGTCTCGATATGTCCAATGTCTCGATATGTAGAAACATCTATCCCAAATTCTTTTCACCAGCATGATAGCTCTTTGTTGAGTCTTCAAGATATGAAATTTCAGTGGAGAAATATTATGTAATTATCGTCCACAGTTGAAGCTTGTTTCCGAATTTGCTAGACCTATTGTCGTTTAGACGGTTTTCAATGGCATTTTCAACGGCAATGGAAAGTTTTCTAAACTACCTCACTTTCGAGTGAACAAATAAAAAATGGTGAATCCAAGTTCCTAATCGTACGACTCATTAGTACTACTATTAGTTATTCTTAAACGAATTATATAGGCGCTAGAGGAAACAATACGCTCGGTTCTACCCGCATACATTTGCACCTTTTCTATCATGATACGATTATGTATTTTGGATAATGATAAATGTAAGCTCACTTTTTTATATATTTTGAACTGTTAGCGCCTATATGGAAATCAGCAACCCGTAATCCAATTGAAATAACTGCTTTATTTACCAAACTCTATCAACCGCCAAAGAAAATGATGTTGATTTTTGGCATAATTTGCGTAAGAATGATGGGCGCGTGGAGAGCAATTGATCCGAAGGTGTCCATAAAGGAACATCGCTTTATACCGCGCTCCGAACATACTATAATAGCTATAAGCAGTTGTAGTTCTTATTAGAAAATCCACTATACCCTGACTAAGAAGTGTATACTACATATATATATATATATATATATATATATATATATATATATGTATAGTATACGTTTCTGTGTATTTTAACGGGCGTTTAGTCTGGATGCAATAAAGGTCAGCTTGAATTCCAGACGGTACCGTGGTTCATTTCTGCACGAATGAGTGTCTGTGTATTGAAGCCGTCGAATTGGTCTAGGGTCTCTAGCAGCTGCCTACTGGCGATGGAATATATTCACATTACTTGATTCGATTGAACAGCTATTGTCTGATAGTTTTATAACATCTACAATATATATAGTCTTGATGACACTCGTTTCTGCGGCAGCCGATCCACGATGACCAGACAGGTCTCTGAATCTCGGCTAACGAAATTTGAATCCTCAGAGAGGCGGCAGTTCGTCGAAAAGCTGAGGATAATGACAGCGTCGATAGTCGTAGCGGCTCGATCTCAAAAGAAGCCCACCGGAGCCTCGAGTAATCTATCGCTTAGTGTTCATTGACACTTCATTGATGCGATGGGCCCATGGATACTCTTCTCGATGGTGGTGTTATAAACTAATAAATGTGCGCTGTTGAAGAATAGCGGCAGAAAACCCACTTTCGGGAAGCGTGTGCTCGACCAAGACACGCTAGAAAGCTTGACCTATCTATTGAACTGTCAGTGTTTCGATGGCGTTTCGTTCTGAAAGATATTAACACATGAGGTTCCCAACTGAAGTCAATAGACCTGTATATATTATAGATGTGAAAGAGTGCCGACTACGAAAGTGGCACAACAGGTTATCTCATTGAAGATAATAACGATGTTTAACTGGCAAGTTACAGAGACGTTCAGCATATAGGAAGGTCCTAAGCAGTTTTACTGTACAACCTGCAGTGGATTTCTTAAAGTAACCATATACTCACTTAGAAGAGCTATGTAAAAAGCATTTACGCTCGCGTAGTTCACAGTCCGCCAGTTCAAGCTTTAAAAAAGCCACGCTGATTGTTTATACTGCTGCACAGATCTGAGCTACTTAGAAGATAACTGTCAGCGTAATCGCACAGAAGAGTCTCCTGTCTAAAAAGCGGTCTGCCTAATGTGCACTGATGTTAGATAACCTTGCCGCTTCAATTAACGACGGTCAGCTGCAGTTCCCAATGCTTAAAATACCATGTTGCAATTAGGTTAGGTAGTTGCTGCAGAGAGGTTTCCGTCTGATGTAGGAAAACAGCTCAATGTTTATGAAGTGATTGTTCTATATAAATGTCTCTCCTTATCTAAGATTCAGCCGCAAATTTTCGAAAATGACCAATCTATTTACCTACTGCTCTACCCGCAGAGGAAGAAGCGGAAGTATCTTTTGGTTGGCTCCTTCGCTACAATTCTACTTGGTTCAACCCATGTACATGAGCGTAACTTGGTCTACGGCATTGTTAAGCTTTGTTACGCCGCTGTATCGCCTCTGTTGATCGAGTCTATAGCGACTCAAGCTTGAAAGGGTTGATCGGTAAATGAGCGACACATCCGATTGTACTAAATCATGACTGTATTGTTTATATGCAACATGACACACATAAGTTGGT